AAATTTACTGGGAGTTGCTATTTTATATTATGTTTGCTTTTAAAAATGGTTTTGTTTATGGATCTGATAATATCTAGATCTCCAATATTTTTAAGCCCAAGCCCCTTGGACACTGCAGCTCTTCTCAGTTTGTGCTTATGTGCAGTTCATTCTTTGCAGCTAATTAAGCTGAAGAAGCCTGGGAATAAAATTTGAAACAAAGGTTATAAAGTTCTTTGCCTAGTAAAAAAGAAAAGAAAAAGTAATTAGCATACACTGCTGATCAGCATGTCCCACTAACTTCTGCCATTTTTCCAGGCCACCAGGAGCGAGAAAGAACTAGAAGCTGTTCATGAGAGGCAGAATTTTGGTCTGATGAGTTCCTGCCATTTCATGTGATAGGATCTATTATAACTCCAGACTATTGTGTAATAAATGAAAAAGTTTTCAGAGGCCTGCAAACTTTGGCTTTTAGGTAGTTCCTAAATCACGGAGTTTTAGACTTCATATGATAAACCTGGACCACTTCCAGAGGAAGGCAGAACAACATGACTGATAGTATGGGACTCATTTCCGGATTTTGGGAAGCCAACAGTTCTGTTAGTGGCCTAGCACTGGCATGAGGATGATGCGTGAAAGCATCACAATGTAGCAATTTTCTGAGGCAGGGGTATCACTGTGGGTGGTGTCTTTGGAGGCAAGGGATGATGACGGCATCTTAGCATATCACTTGCAGGTGTATGTCATGTGATAGTGGTATGTCCCATTTGACCATGTTCAAATTGATAGCATCTTTTAAAAATCGTAAGGGAGCTATCAAATAGTATGGTGGTTAAGGCACTGGATCCCACATGGCTGACTCCAAAGTTTACATCCCAGATCTAGCAGCCTGAAAAATATTACAGGTGCGTGTGCATGTGTGCTACAATCCCAAGAGGAGAATGGAGGAGAAGGCATTATGGCGTGGCCTTCCCCCAGGGAGTGATTTCTCAGTTTCCCTCTTTCTTTGTCTCTCTCTGGTAACCATGCCCTGTGGTTAAAAAAAAAAAAAAAAAATTGAAAAAAAGGTAAGTGTTCCATGAAGTGAGGTAGAAAAAATCACAAGCAAATACACATCTCTCTCTTCAGTTTTTGCCTTTGCTGAAGATAATTTTTCTCCTTCTAAGTTTTAATGTCTTTTTATTCTAAGCTATGCAAGTTTAGAGATAATTTCTTTTTTAATTATTTATTTAATTTAATTTATTTATATATTTTTAATTTGACCAGAGAGAGACAGAGAGCAGAGAGAGAAAAAGAGAGAGCGAGAAAGTAAGTGAGAAAGCAAGCTGCCAGGTCTGAGACTCAAACCATGGTCAGCTATTTGGGAGTCCAGCATCTTTAACCCCCATGCCACCTGCTGGCCTCCAAGTTTAGCAAGAATTTCTATATGAAATTTTAAACAGTCCATGTTTACCAATATAGACATTGTATTCCCTATGTGTTCAGTTCATCCCGTTGCTAATCACAGAAAATACTTAAGCCTTGGTATTACGAGAAAAGAGGTTTAATCCGTTCATGGTTTTCAGGTCTCACCTCCAGCAGCCACCTCTGGTGAGGGTCTTCTTACTGGAGGATCACATGGCGAGACAAGAGAGTAGGCGTGCCTGTGTCTGTGTGTCTGTGGGTTCAGGTCTCATTCCCTCTTCTTAGGAACTTACCAGAAGATGAGGGCCCCACCCTGATGACCTTAATCCTAGTCTCCTTCCAAAAGCCCCACTTTTCCATATCACAGTCCAATTAAATTTCTACCTCTAATCTCATCACAACTAAATTTAAACACATGAATTTTGAAGGGATACAGTCAAACTATAGCATTATAATATGTGGAATGATTGGCCCTGAGTAGAATTCGTTCACTGGCTCTTTTTAAGGCAGAATTAGCCTTTGACATGTTTCCCGGTTTGGTTGAGTTTTCTTTCCTTCTGAAACATTTCACATTTGTTGAGGTAATTTGTGTGATAGCATCGTTTGTCATATTGGGTTGTCAGAAAAATCGTGATGTGTTTTTCTGTTTTTCTATGCAAAAATGCATCATGACTTTTCTGACAACCCAGTAGTAGGCCTGGTAAATTTTCTCTGCGACTTTGACTACTGCTGGTGTGGCTCAACAAAGCAGCTTGACCTGTCCGCCAAGTGCAAAGCCCAGTTCTCCCTTCTGGTGCTGTTTTTTTTTTTTTAAGAATTATTTTATTTAACTTTATTTATTATTATTATCATTGTTATTTTCCAGTTTGATCAGAGAGAGAGAGAGAGAGGAAGTGAGAAAGCAAGCCACCAGGTCCGAGACTTGAACCATGGTCGGCCATGTGGGAGTCCAGCGCCCCCAACCACCATGCCACTTGCCAGTCCCCTGGGGCTATTTTTGAGGCTACTGTTCCTAGGTATCGTCGCAGTGGCCTTCTACTCCCACAGAGACCTGGAAGAGTTTGTAAGGAGGCGGGACATGGAATTCATTAAGTCCATCAAGATTATCCAAGATAAATCCAACTCCTGTAGTCTTCAGTACACTACTGCCTTCAGGAGATGCACAGAGAGACAGAGACAAGGTCTCAACTCAGGTCTCCTGATGCCATCAACTCTGAGCTGATGAGTAACATTGACTGAGAATTAGTCATATTAAGCACTTTATACATGCTAACGTGTTTAATCCTCACAACAAACATAAAGTCTGTAGTGTTATTTCTATTTATAGATGAGAAAATTAAGCCATAGAGAAGTTAAGTAACTTGCCCAAGGTTACACACAGTTTAAAAAATGGTGGTACTGGGGTACAGATCCAATCTGTTTCTCTCTGAGAAGTACTACTGCCCCCCATTCCCTCTTCCCCCATTAGCTCTGGACACACATTGCACTTCTGAAGCTGATGCACAGTAAAATCAGGAACTGCAGCGTAGACATGGCCTTCACACCTTTCTTCCCAGTCATCTGCCTAGGATTTCTGTTGTCCTGGTGCCCACGCTCACTACCACTCAGGGATGTGCTGTCAAGCTACTGTCATGCAACTGGACTTCTACTGCAAACCATTCCTGTTGGACCCAGAGAAATTTGAATGGATGATACTTTATACATTTAACCATAGTGTAATAAAATCCTACTATAGATGGGGGTGAGCAGATGGTGTAGCGGTTATGTTGCTGGACTCCCACATGGGCTGATCACGGTTTGAGTCCCAGGCCCAGTGACTTTAAACCCACTCCAGGTGCATGTGCGTGCACGTCCAAGAACCCAGGAGGAGAAGGGGTTGCTATGTGGCCATTTTTCTGGGAGATGACTTCTCACTCTCCCTCTCACTTTCTCTGTCCCTCTTTCTTTCTCTCTCTCTGGTGAGCACATACACCCTAAGGCAAAAACATCTTAAAGGAAAAAAGGAAAAAATCCTACTGGAAAGCCTTGTGAAAAGCAAAGTGAACTTTTTGTAAAATAACCACCTTACCGTCATTTCTTCTGATACACAAAATGTGATGTCTGATTTGCTTAAAGTATAGCTGACATGGGTCCATGGTCACACTGCTTCGCGGCTGGCTGCTGGCTGTGTTTATTACCACTGCTTCCTACTTAACAAGAGCTTGCTGAGCGGAGAGCAGTTTCACCCCAGGGGCCACTATGGGTGCTATTAAGTCACGCTTTGTTTTATTACTAACCATTATCTTATTAATATGTTAAAGGTAGCCCATGTATCAAAATTGATAACATTTTGTAAGCTTTAGATGAATGGACACATGTACCCGAGCATATGATACCATTTTAGAGTCGCTTATTGAAAACACATTGCCAGCTCTCAGGGTAGCGTTACATTCAGTCCAGTAGAAAAGGAGGAGCTTTGCCATAGCTCCTATGGATTTGCACCTTTTTATTGGTAACTGATTTCTCATTATTAAATGATGGCAAGATTAATCAAGATAAATCCAAGCTGTTGTCATAAATAAGGCCTATTCTATGGAAATAGGTTCAGTCCTTTAGGAAATGATGTAATATACCTCCTTCTAAATGCTCAGTAATGGCCTCCTTATACTCTGTTATGTCTGGCTTCTGAGTGCTATCAGGAATTTCTTTTCTGGGAACCAGCAGTTAGCGTAATGGCTATGTCGCTGGACTCCCACGTAGTCGACAACAGTCCGCGTCCCAGACCCGGTGGCTTAAAACTCACGCCGGGCACATGTACATGCATGCCCAAGATCCCGAGAGGAGAATGGAGGAGAAGGGATTGTGGCGTGGCCATCTCCCCTGGGGGGTGATTTCTCGCTTTCTGTTGCTCTGTCTCTCTCTCTCTCTGTCTGGCGAGCGCATGCGCCCTATAGCGAAAATCTCTCAAAAAAAAAAATTCTTTTTTGTTTTGTTTTGTTTTTGGAGAGGTTTTTGCTATAGGGCATGTGCACTCACCAGAAAGACAAGAGAGAGACAGAGAGACAGAAAGCGAGAAATCACCCCCAGGGGGGGATGGCCACGCCACAATCCCTTCTCCTCCATTCTCCTCCTGGGATCTTGGGCACGCACGCACATGCACCCGGCGTGAGTTTAAGCCACCAGGTCCGGGACTTGAACTGCAGTCGACTACATGGGAGTCCAGTGTCATAACCGTTACGCCATCTGCTGGTCCCAGTAATTTTTTTTCATTGAAGTAAAAATGGCAATTAAAGGTAAGTTTTTTATTTTATTTTTTTCATCATTTAAAAAAAATTGCTATGGGGCACATGCACACATGAGAGGGAGTGAGGGAAATGAGAAAGCAAGCTGCCAAGTCCAGGACTTGAATCGTGGTCAGCCATGTGAGAGTCCAGTGCCTTAACCAGCATGCCACCTGCTGGTCCCCTAAACAAGTTTTTCAAAAGGTTATTTTAAAATTTTGCTGCTTGAGAAATAGAATGAAGTCACTGAACAGGTCCCTCAAGTGTTGCAGCAAGCTGTGTTGAAGAAGGGAAAGCTTTGGGAATTCTGCTTTTCAAGCCCTGTTTGATAAAAAGCTTCTCTGTGTTGCTTTCCAGGTATGTGGCCAGTTGGATAGACAGAAGGCAACATCAATCAGAAAAGGCTAATTTAACTATCCTTTTCGATAAATACGTCCCTGCATGTTTGGATAAGCTGAGAACAAGCTTTAAGACTATCACTTCAATTCCAGAGAGTAGCCTGGTGCAGGTATGTTCTCCATTCTCCCTTTACACATGCTAGTGTTGATCAAGATCTCAGAGAGGCTGGTGCTTGCTCAGGAAGGCTTTACGTTTTCCAAAAATGCTAGGTGACTCTAACTGTCCTGCACCAGGACCTGTGTTTGACGGAATTTTTCGCTAGCCTTACCGGACTCTGTAACACTCTGTTGTCATTTGGGTTTGTGGTCTGTTTCTTTCACAAGATTAAACCAGAGGCCAGAAGCCATTTTATTCATGTCTTATGTCCTCAGAGATTGACATAGTTTATAGCACACAGTAGGTGCTTTTCCTTCCAAGTACATTTGCACAGAATTAGAACAGAGTGGCCGTAGTCTTAGCTATTAACCTTAGCTCTAAAGCAACTTATCTAGAGTAAATACTTGGTAAGTTTTTAGAATAAAATAAATCTGTGTCTTGCCAGTGAGTAAGGCAAAGTGTCTGAATTTTCTCACCCCCAAGATTCCCTCTCCCAAAATATTCCAGAAGGCATGTCAGCCTGGATGAAGAGTTCATAATATTCCAGGGATATTTTTTTTTCTGATCTTCATTGTAAGACAATTGAAAAGAGTGAAGGGTATATATGATGTGTTGTCATGGAAGCAAATGAAAATCGTTCACAGTACACAGAAAGGAAGGTTGTGATCTTAATCTCAGTATGAAGAAAAGCTATCCCCAGCCCTTACAAGCATAAGACTTCACAACAGGTTTACATTTTCTTTTCCCCCCATAGGAGCAAAATTGGTTTCTAAGTACTTTGTTACTATTAAGTTACTGTGTTACCAAATTTGTTTGAAGCTAAATTAGAAATAGTTACAGGCATAATAAGAAGAGAAAGTTCAGGTTTTTGGATAATTCACACACCAATTAAGTAAACGATAGTCTTCAACAGTAATTATCTGAGGTATAATTTATTTCTGAAAGCAGGTCTGAATTTATTCATAATGAATTAATTATGTAGTTAGCCTAATTAGACTTCCTCTGGTGCAATACTTATAAAAAGCAGGATCGTGTTCTTTCTCAAGTTGACTTGTGTATTTGCCTGATTCTCTGTGGTGTGAACTTTTTCATTCAAGAGTAGTGTGAAAATAGGTCAGTAGGCATTAATATGACTTTTGGTCTCAATTCCTCATTTCATAGTATTCAGAAATAACATTTAATCCTTAGTTCCTTTTAAACTGTTGTTTTATAGAGTAGTTTCTTTTTCTTCGGTTACTTCTAAGTACAGAAATTTGAGACAAAAATAGGTATTAAAAAGAATAGCCTAAAATGGCTATCGAGAAATTAATGGATTTTTTTCCCATATATGAAACATTTTTAAGTTTGGTAAAGCTAGAAAGAAACACACACATGACACTGAGTAGGTTTGTTATAACTTGTATTCTATGTTGATAAATGCCTACTGCCACCTCCAAAAGCTGGGGGAACCCATCTTGAAGTTTTAGAGTTTATGACAATGCTAATTAATAACTTTTTTATTTTAATTATTAGAGGGTACGTGTGCTCACCAGAGACAGACAGGGGGATGTACTCCCTCCCCAAGTAGGGTATGGTAACACTTCAATCTCTTCTCCATTTCTCCATCCTGTTAGGATTTAGGGGCCTGAATCTCTGCACACACAGGGGCCTACTATGTTTTCAAGCCTCTGTGGCTGGGATTTGAACTGCAGTTGGCCATATGGGATCTAGCTCCCTTAACTACTAGGCCATAAGTTCGGCCCCAGTGATGACAACCTTAATTCTTTAGAGAACTAGCACAAAGCATGTTGATTACCAGTTATGATTTCACATGGTAAAGGCCTTTGCAGCAGCCACGTTCCACCATGGCCAACATGATCACCCTGAACATTGGGTTTGTTTAGGGCTGAAAGAGCACATTGCTGTTCCACCTGGAGTGTCTGCAGAGCAAGTTCCTGAACAGCATCTCTTCCAAGGTTAAATTTAATTTGGTATTGAAAAAATGCCACAAGCTAAGGCTGCAAGTCCAACTTCCTAAATTTATGACAACAGGTGGGAAAAACGGCTGCCAAAGCCCTAACGGAAAGAGGGTTATGTAAGTGTCCAACAAGAGGGGAATAGTTAACTAAATGCCTGCCCGCCCACTGGAACCTTAAGCCTCGTTCTGACGACATTGTAGAGCAGCACTTACGGCTAAGGAAAGATGCCTTCAGTGGGTTTTTAAGTGAGAAACCGAGTTATGCAACATTATTTATAATCTAATTTCCTATTTTTAAAAAGCAAATATAGACAGGGGATTTAAAAACTTTATGGAACCATGGAATTAAATTATGAGTTTATTTTGCTGCCAAAAATATGAAATCCCTATACAGTTTTTTAATTATATGCATTTTCCACAAACATTTTGAAGACTCCTCATGTATTCATTATATTTTTATCTTTTTGTGTACATCTTTCTGGGTTGTACAGTGATTGTACCTGGTTCATTTAAAATAGTAGTTTTTAAAGTAGTTTGTTATTTCCTTGATTTTTTTGATTAAAAATGACAAAAGTTTCCCCCTGTTGACTCAGACACCCGAGGTAGTAATTTTTATTAGGTTGTCAGGGAAGTCCTGACATATTTCTCTATGCTTTCGATGCCAAAAAAAAAAAAGAAAGAAAAAAAAGCATCATGACTTTCCCAACAACCCAGTCTCTCTCCAGGGCAGCAAATCCAGAGTTGAGGAAAGTTATATAACCTCTAAAGGGTAAAGAAGAGGTATAAAAATCCCGTTTAATTTATCTCACTATTTAAAACATGCTGCCCTAAACGAATGGCTGTTTCTTTCTATTTAGACTCTCTGTGTTCTTTTGGAGTGTTTGTTGACTCCTGAAAATGTACCATCTGACAGCCCAAAAGAAATCTATGAAGTCTATTTTGTCTTTGCTTGTATCTGGGCCTTTGGAGGCACCCTGCTACAAGACCAGGTATGTCTGCAGATGATTTCTTTGCAGTGGTGGGGGATTATAAAATGTGATCCATATCTTTCTGCTGTTACCATAGAGCTGTACCCCTTGCCCTCTTGTCTCCTAAGCATGTGCAGTCCTACCGGGGCTGATGGTCGGAACTTCTGCAGACAGTGCCAAATCTTCCTCCTCGAGCCCAGAACTCTATGAGCTCCAGGTTCTTTGTTTCCCGCCATCTCAGGAGCCTGGCCTGCAACATGCTATTCTGTGAGCAAGTGACACTCCTCTGCCTGAAACAGACCTTTCCCTCTGCCCCATACCCAGATGTATTCGTCTTTGTTCTTTGCTCCTCAGCAATGCATTCCTCTTTGTTGCTCCAGTTAAAAAGCTGGGAAACAGCACGCTTGCTTTTTGCCACATCCCATCATCACAGACCTTTTCAGTTCCACTCACAGAAGAGCCCTCAAGCCTGCCCCCTGTTCTCTGTCCTCATAGCCTTAATTCAGGGATGGATTGTTTTTTGATTACACCGGGCTATCACAGTGTCTTAGATTGGGCTGCCATAAACTGGGTAGCTTAAATGACCGAAATTTCTCTCTCACAGTTGTGTACACTGGGAGTCTGTGATTTGGGCGTCAGCACGGTTGAGTTCTGGGATGATTCTTTTCCTAGCATGCAGATGGTTACTTCTCTCTGTGTCCCCACATGGCAGAGAGAAAAAGACAGCAGTCTGCCTGGCATCTCTTCTTACAAAGGCACTCATCCCATCATGAGGGCTCCCATCCTGACCTCATCTAAACATAATTATCTTTCAAAGGCCCCATTTCCAAATTCCAGCATGTTGTGAGTTAGGGCTTCCACACATGAATTTGGGGGGTGGGGGTGCGGGTTTAGTCCATGGCCTGTGATAACCTTCAGATTGGTCTCCTTGTCTCCAGTCTGTCCAACTCTAATAGTCTCACATGCCGTTGCCTGGGTCGCCATTTGCAGACCACATTCTACCTCTGGACAGTTTGTTTTCATTGGTCTTTCAGCTTGAAGCAAAGCTCTCATGCCTGCATAATATTGCTTCCATGGCCCTCTTGTGGCTTCTGATTTCCTATGGAAGGACGCTGGAGATGAGAACTTGCACAAGTAGGCACACAAACTGGTGAGACTTACCAAAGAGCAAAGTGCAAAGTGCAGGTGTAATCTGCAGGCACCTCTATGAGAGGTCCTCTAAAAGCTCACTTGCAGATTTTCCTCATGGAACATTTACAATAATTCTTCGAGATACCTTTGTTCGTGGATAAAGTCAAGCTCACTGGGGACTACTTGCTCAGAGTCCTGCGGATGGGCGGCAGCCTCATCAGGATTCCCGCCTTCGCTTGCCTCTGTCCAATAGCTACACCCTCCGCGGTGCCCCGGAACTTCTCACAGTCACAGTGTTTTCGAGTACCCCTTAGTCTTTACATTAAAAATAGATGCCATGTGTTTTCCAGGCTTCCCCCATTTCTCCAAGTATGAACAGGGAATTTACACCAGAAGACATCACAGCCAAGAGTGACCCATATGGCTGTTGGTTTACCCATGTAGATCCTAAAATAAACGGTTGATAAAACCTGTGGGCCAGTTCCGTTTCTTGTCACTAGGTTACCATAACTCAAATCTATAAATAAATTTGGCATTCACTTGGCCTCCTAGATCTTATTTCAACCCCTCTCAGAAGCCAGATTCTCTTCTGTAATTCCCAAGTGCTTTCTGAAGAATAACAGACTCTCTCACACTACTCTGTGAGGATCAAGTATTGGTGTCGGGTGATTTCATGTGGCTTTGTCAAAGGCACCATGTACACATGTGGGTTTCTTGGTCATAAAATACAACTTGCAAACAGAATATATCCTCTTCCCTTGCCAAGGTTTTCCTTTGTTTTCCACAAGATTCCTTCTTTTCTAGGACTGTAAAAATCAGGTAAGATGTTGTAATCTTTGCGCCTTTGATTATAACTCCTCACCTCTCTCCTGGCTGATCCTCTTAAAATATTTCCAATTTCCACACCTGGCACCTTTCACCCAGTTACTTACGCTGGTAGCTGGGCATCACAAGTCACCTTCCTGTCCCACACATTCTTCCCCCATTAATGGTCAGTAACATCGTCATCTTCTTCAAATTTTCAAAAGGGCTGTGACCATGAAGCACTCAGAAGCAAGGCTGTGAGGTTGAGAAAATAAATGAAGTAGACATGAGAAATGTTCTTAACACTGCTGTTTGTAAAGTCATCAAATCAAGTGCTTACTATATGGAGAGATTGCCCTTAAAGGTTTTCCCAAGGCTCTCATTTTATCTTCAAAACAATTAAAAACCCTGTGTGGATAGGTACAATTCTTCTTTTACAAATAATAGACAGAAGCTTAGATGGATAAGTTGACCCGCTTAAACGTACAAAGTTAGCCTACATCTGAGCCAAGCCCAAACTGTAGCAGACTGCCTCAGGACTGTGTTCTTAACTCAGGCTATTATAAACAGCCTCCGGTAGAGGCCTCAAGTCTGCTTAAGAGCGTTCTCTTTCCGAACTCGGACAAACTGCCATCATTTCCCACTTGGCTTCTGGAGTAGCCTCCTCACTGGTCTCTGCTTCTACACTTGCCCCCATACTTTATTAGCCACTCAGCAGTCAGAGCCACTTTTTAAACTGTAAATGGACTCATAGGATATCCTCCAGAGTTTAAAACACTTTACGGGATTCTTATTGCCTTTATGATAAAATTTAACATTTTAATACGATTTGTAAGGCCTCTCAATGTCTCCCTCTTGCTGCTTCTGCCTCCTGGCCTGCAGCTCCCCACCACCACCACCCCGCTCATAAACCGCAGCCACACTGCCAGTTTCTCAAACACACTAAATTCTTTCATACCACGGGGATCTTTGCACATGCTGGACTATTCCTGGAATGATCTTTTCCCTGCTCTATGTCTGTTCTTTTTTTTTTTTTTTTTTTTGGGGAGCTTTTCTTACTAGGGTCGGTTTTAGAACTTGTCATGAGAGATTTCAATCTTAAAGATACATGTTGACTTTTTTCTCTTTTGTTGGTGTCTTATATTGTTTATACTTTCCAATTTCTGTGATTGTTATAAGCATATACCCTGTTTTATTTAAAACAATATAGTACGGTATTTCTAAGATTTTCATGAATGCTTTCATGAAATTATCTTAGGAGACTGGGAATTCTCAGATGATGAAATGATTTGTCCTAAATTGATGATAGTGTAATAACTTTTTTTTTTTTCTGGAGAGGTTTTCACTATAGGGCACGTGTACTCACCAGACAGAAAGAGAGAGATGGAGAGACAGAGAGACAGAAAGCGAGAAATCACCCCCTAGGGGGGATGGTCACGCCACAATCCCTTCTCCTCCATTCTCCTCTCGGGATCTTGGGCACGCATGCACACGCGCCCAGCGTGAGTTTAAGCCACCGGGTCCAGGACTCGAACTGCAGTTGACTATGTGGGAGTCCAGTGACATAGCCATTACGCTAACTGCTGGTCCCAGGAAAAGAGTATTTTAATACTGAAATGGCCAAGGAGGCTGTAAACTCTTAATAAAGGGCAATATTTCAATCAAATAATGCTACCAGTTTTTGAAATACTAGTATAGTAATTCACATAGTAGCTCCTTGTTAGATCAAATAAGCAAGAGGTAATCCAAAGCTCACCTAACTTACCTTACTTTTTAAGTTAATAGTTATTTCACAGTATTTGTACTTGAGGGCTATATGGCAGGTATAGTTTTTTACCTCTATACTAGTATCACTCGTTATTTTTCTAATTACGGAGGGGGCATGCGTGCACACAGTTCCTTTCCTCCAGTCCTCCAGCTTGTCACATTGGCTACACCTGCCTACCTGGCATGTTTCAGTCTGACTGGCCCAAGGATCCAAACCAGTCGCCATGAGTATCACTCCTTATCATTTATTTTTAATTACTTATTTATCTTGTGTCAGTGACTCAGTTTTATACCAGGTTTTCATTCATAATTATGACTTCGTACGCTGCAAACACTGTGTGTTAAATGGGATATGGAAGGGCTCTGTATGTTTTCAAGGTTACCTTTAAATCTACCGTAAAAGTATTTCTTGTGTTTTTCCTTAGCTTTTTGATTATCAAGCTGATTTCAGCCGGTGGTGGCATAAAGAGATGAAGGCGGTGAAGTTTCCATTCCAGGGGACAATCTTTGACTATTACTTGGACCATAAGACTAAGAAATTCTTGCCTTGGGCTGAAAAAATTCCCCAGTTTACTATGGAGCCTGATGTACCTCTTCAGGTAGGTATGAAACAACAATGTTCAAGCTACAATTTGCTTACTTGAGCCCTTCATTCATTCATTTATTCATTTTTAAGAGAGAGAGTTTTCCTATAGGGTGTGTGTGCTCACCAGAGAGACAAAAAGTGACAAATCACCCCCCCCCCCAAAGGGAGGGCCATGCCACAATCCCTTCTCCTCCACTCTCCTCTCAGGATTTTGGGCATGCACACACATGCTCCTGGTGTGAGTGTTAAGCCACCAGGTCCAGGACACAAATTGCTTTTGACTATATGGGAGTCCAGTGGCGTAGCCATTCTGCCATCTGCTGTTCCCAAGCCCTTTTTTATAAAGCAGTTTTCCTTGGGGCCAGTAGGTGATATGGTGGATGAAGTGTTGGACTCCCACATAGTCGACCATGGTTCGAGTCCTGGATCCCACAGCTTGAAACTCACACTGGGCATGTGTGTGGGTGCATGCCCAATATCTCAGGAAGAGAATGAAGGAGAAGGGATTGCATCATGGCCTTCCTCCCAGGGGTGATTTCTCACTTTCCCTCTCACTGTCTGTATGTCTCCTGTGAGCTCATGTGCCCTATGGCTCCTTTCTTTCTTGCTGGATGGATAAATTATCATGTCGATAATGCTCAACATATACTTCCCTCGGAGAGGAAAATCTCCACTGTAGGAATGCTTAATGAGCTGAGTGTTATATTTCTGCAACCTCTTTATTATTATTTTAACTTAACTCCATGGTAACAGGTTCTTTTATATTTTTCCTAGAAACTACAAGTTTCGTGGAAACTGGAAGCATATTTCTGTGCAGTGATTCTTATTTCGGACCTTATTGTAAATTTCTGAGACACTTTCCCTATGTAGTTTTTTCCTTTTACCCTCAGCCATAAAACAAGTATGTTTAATCTTCTCATCTCATGTGTTTCTGGTTCACATGGCAGCTGACAAATCTGAACAAATCTTTCTTTTCTTTCATCTTTGTTTCTTTCCTCAGATTGTCCTTCTCCAATTCATTTCTGCTAGGTCAAGTTATTCTCTGACCATCTTCTTGTTCTGTCTGTTTTCTTCTTCATTCTATTTCTTTCTCAAAATTATGTCATTCTAATTCATGTCCGAGCCTGTTATTCCTGTGTTGTTGTTTAAGCGATTTCCACTGTATCAGGAAGGAGGTAGGTAGCATCAGATAACAGAAAGCCTGATGCATTTGTTTCCTGGCATTGCCATAACAAAGTATGGGTGGCTTAAACCGCAGAACTGTACTGACTCCCAGTTCTGGAGGCTAGAAGTTCTAATTCAAGGTACTGGTGCAGCTGGTTCCTTCCAAGAGCTGTGAGACTCTCTCTCCTAGTCACTGGTGATTTTTTTTTTTTTTTTTTGGCGGAGGGGGTTGTTTTTTTAGGC